TCAGAGAACTTAAATCATCTGGTTACTTAATTTAGTGCATCATTTTACTTACAATGATTACCATTTGACACAAACAATAGTCACTGCATTATTTAAACAAATTAGTTAATAAACTTTATATAGTCATCTGTTACTTCTCTGCTAAGGCTGCTTTTATACTTACATAAGTAGAGAAGTAATCATTCTAAGTAACAAAGTTATTGAAATAAGTTCTGTAATTTGTTGTTTTCAAAATTTAAATAAGAAATTTATGAGTCGAGCAAATTTTTCATAAAAAGGATTGAAACGTATAGTCTTAAGATAATCTTGAATTTTTTTTTTAAACAAAGTCATTACAAATTAAATTTAAATTAGTGTAAAAAAAAAAAAAAAAAAAAGTTAAATCTATTACAAGTCTATAATTTAGAGAATCTGATAAAACTAGCCCCACAAAATTAGATAACTTGGCTGAGAATGCTGGATATAAAAAGATTTTTTAAATTTTCTTTAATCATATTGAACCTTTTTTTTTTTTTTTTTATTTGAAAATTAAGAATTTTTAAGATGTTATTTTAATTAACCACAAAGATTGTTTCTTGCATCTCAAAATAAGAATTTTGCCAAGGCAAGGGAATATTAGATATTATTTTTCAAACAGCATTAAATTTAAAACAAAGTGTTAAATTAACAAAAAATAAATAAGGACAGAAAAGAGTAAATGAAAACACAAATTGTTTTTTTTAGCAAAGCATCTAAGGTTGAAGCAAGCTATTTTGTAAAAATTGAGAATGGAGAAATAAAGTAGGAATTTTTAGCTGGAGGAGGAAAAGATATTTAAAAATGGTGAAGTTATTAGATTTATTGAATAGCTTCTGATAAAGAAATGTATAATTTAAGTATTGGTATCACCAGTGAAATGCCCTACTAATGTTGACTAATAACTAAATATGATGGCAACATTTCCTAAGAGTTATTTTGCAAAGAATAGACTGTTTCACAAAATGGAAGATCAAAGCAAAAAAATAATTTTAGCAATTACAGAAAGGCATAGCTTTATATGATAGCAACAACAATTTGTAACCTTTAAATATGTATAAGGCTTTTTTGATATACAAAAGTTTTTGATATTTTCATTTTAGAAAATTTACAAATATATATCACTTTATAAAATACAACTCAATGAGGACATGTATGAATATATCTATCAATATACACCAAATATTTTAGATAAATCTCTGAACATTTTTTTTAACTTCCAGTGAACATTAAAAGAAAAAGTATAAAAAGAAATACTAGAAATGTTTTAAAAAAAAACAAAACATTTAAATAAGTTGATCCCATTTTTGCCTTTTATGAATAAAAGATCCATGTCAAGCTGGTGCTAATGATTAAATTTTAACTAAAATGTTAGTATAATTATGAATAATTAACTGTCACAATAGGATTGCAGTGTTTAAACTCAGGTAAAACAAAGTTTGGATTTTTTTTTGTGAAAGACATTCAAATTTTTTTTTTAATATTATTTTAAACAATGTGAACCAAAAGAGATAAAATAAACATGTGAGCCTTTAAATAAGAGTTATAGTGCAAATAATTCTATCACAATGGATAGCTATATCTGAATACTGAAACCAGACATGTTCAAACTTGATAAAATACTTTGAAAGATGGTACACTATATATACTAAGCTTAATCGAGCATATCAAATATTTACTTCAGTAAGAATTGACTGCAGTTTGAAAAACTTGCTATGGTGTCTGCCATATTGTCACTTATAAGTTTGCTTACATTAAATAGCAATGTAGATTGTATTATGCTGCTAATTCTTTTAATGGTTTTTGAATATTTTGCAAACATAATTAATAATAGTACTCATTATATAGGGATTTAGAAGTTATCTGTATATATTGCAAAATTTGAAACTAATTTTTTCTCTCTTAATCACACTGGTTTATTATAAAAGCACAAGTGTTTTGAACATTTGTGCACAAAAATAAAAATAGATTTCTTTATAAATCTATTTATTTCAGTCATGCTGTTTCATATCAAATAAGTTTCTTTTGCTGTTTAGAAAGTTACTTTGTGAACAACAAAAATTCTAATTTGCATCCCTACAGACAATAGATAAGCCAAGATGGTGAGAGTAACAACATATGCAATATTCTAGAAGTGGTAGACACTAAAACCTAAAAATAAAGACAAAAACATACCAAGTTCTAAAATGCAGAACTAACATTTAAAGAATCCCAATGACTTATTAATAAAAATAGTAGCTATCCCAATAGTAAGTATAGAAGGTAAGAGTAAAAGACAGAATAACAAACATCTCACTTTTGTCAGAGGCCACCCCCACCCCTAAAAGGCTGAGGTGTTGGGAGTAGCTTCAAGAAATTTTTTTTTATCTCAACCTGAAACATTTAATCCCCCCCACTGAGAGAGGAGAGGTCACAAGGGGTTAGGGATTACCGTTGTCTGAATGGTTGATCCAGTTCTTTTGGCTTATTGGAGAGCCAGCAAGACCTGTTTGAAAAGAGATACAGTTCGCAAGGTTAGATAGAAGAAAGAGGCTGACAATTTAAGTGAAAGTTAGAATGAATACAAAACAGGAATTTAAAGTTTTCATAAAGACTTGAAATAATTGCTAGTCTAATTTCAAATAGAAATAATTCTATTTCGAAAAATTTAGACTAAAATTTGAAAATTATTTTTCAAACATTAGATGCATATTGAAATGCTGATTTTTTTTTTATCTGATCTCATTTTAAATACATCATTTTGGTGCTTACTTTTTATCTATATTATTATTGGGAATTGCTATAAAAAAAATATTAAAAGGTTACAAATTAAATTTATTAAAAAGTAAACAAACATGCAAAGCATACAAAAGAAAGAAAAATTAATATCATTTAAGACAATGGCCAATTTAAAAACTAGTTTAATAAAACTATTATAGCTTATTCTACATTTTCTAATTTTGGAGATTTTTCTAGTTATAATCATGTTTGTAAAATAAAGCAGGTTTGGATATCAGATTTAAATAATATTTACTTTAAAGAGGATCACTAAATTTGGTTTCTTTTTTTGCTTATATTTAATGATTATTGAAGGAAATTGGTTAACTGAAACCATTCCTCAAAAGATATTTAATGACTAAATTTCCATAAAGAATTTTCCCAGTTGAAGGAAGAGAAAAAATTGTGCACATTTTAAAGAATATAGATGTGAATTCTAAAAGAAAGGGACTAAAAGTTGTTCTATTTTTGCTATTAACTTGCAGATAAGGAATTAAAAATACTTGCCTCAATCTTTATAAGAACCATGATTATTTTGGTAAAATGACCAAAATTGGAAACATCTATTTATGTCTTATGAATATAGTTACATAAATCCACAATTGTTAACCTTGCATTAGTCAAAATTAAAAAAAAAAAGAGAAGAGAGATAAACTGATGATTTTTACTCATTAAACTAAAACCAAATGTGTCCCTAGAAAAAATTATTGCTAATAATAAAAATAAAAAAAGAAAATAAAGAATGAAATGAACAGTGACTCATTCAAGAAAAACTGTTTCAATAATCAACTGGAACAAAACACTAATTTTTATATTCAAGAGAACAATGTACATAATTTTCTTTGGAAAAATTAAATTTGTGCAAGTTGAAAAGTAGCAGTGGCAGCAACAGCAAATAAGCTGATAAAGGCAGATATTTAGAAAAAGTACAAGTTTTATCAGAAAAGTTGCTACTACCTAAAAAATATTCCAGCCTATATATTTCTTCAATTTGTATACTACTATATTATGATCATTAGTATAATTGACTTAAAATATGAACCTATATATATATATATATATATATATATAATTTAGCCAAATGTTCACAAAAAAAACTTGTTGAACTATACAGGGTTGTTTAGATCTTTGAGGACATTTCCATGAATTTAATGATACATCAGTCATGAAAGAAAAGCTTTACTTGAGAAAAAATTGGTATGAATAATCTTGAGACTCTTCTCAATGCATCTACATAATGAATCTGTTGTTAGCATTGATAACTGCTTCTATATGAAGTCTGAAACATTGACATGTCTGAATCAGATTATCAAATTTGGACATTGTACTAGTTATGGCAGATTTTAGATATTTTATAGTATTATGGAGGCTTCCCTCTTGACTACACCCCATATAATTCAGGTCTGGAGAGTATGGTTGGGGTGACATGATCATGGAGATTATAACTCATCCATTCATGCACTGCCTTGGCTTTATGAGATGACACAGGGTCTTGATGGTAGGTGTATATTTTTCTTTTGCTTACACTCTCAAATTCAAGGCCTCACAAACCTCTCCAACATCTTATAGTAATCAGTATTGACCCATAAACTCTGAGGAAAGAAATGAGAAGGTATGACATCTTCCTCATTACTCATGAGTCCTAGAACCATCACAGTTGCCAGAAAGTTGTGCATGACTATTGTAACATCCTTAGGGTATTTGCATAACTCATTCTTTCAGTTGATCTTTTGGAGAAAAACCAAAACATTCCAAGCCTTTGATGTTTCAACTTGTTCAACAAGCACTTTGCATAGATCAGACAGTGTTATCTTTTGTCTCTGCATTATATGACTTGTATTGGAGGATCTAATGCACAATTTTTTCTGATAGATGTCCTTTAAAAGAACTTTCTTTTTGTGCATATTTGGGTGTTCTGATGGTATTAGGACACTTAGCAGGCATTTTAACACTACTACTACTACTACTGTAGAATCCCTATAAGTGGCTTCCAGCACTTTACTAAATTTGATAACAAATGACCCTGCAGCTTTCAGGAAGCTAGCAATCTCTAAATCACCATACTATTTAAGACAACAATTAAGCATGCCTTTTCATTTGTTTATGTTTGTTATCATTTATCTGAAAAGAAATGATAAATAGAACAAGTTAGAAAAAGATTAGAGCTATTAAAAGATGTGCCGTCAAAGGACTGAGCAACCTTGTAATATGATGGAAGAGTGCTAAAATAAAGTTTACTTCAAAATACTATTTATACACACAAAGCAATAAAAATTATATACCATTAAAATGATAACATTAAAAAAATCCAAAGGATCCTATATCTAAAAAGTTTTCAATCTTTAAAAGAGTCTTAGCTTCATTCTAGCTAAGTTATTCAAGTTTTACTTTATAAAATTTTACCTTGTTGCAATGATCTCAGATATAATGCAAAAAGAGAATACACTAAAGAAGAGGAAGAAAGTTAATATTTAATAAAATATTAAATATCTGAATATCAATCACACTTAAAATTAATAATAAAGTGGGGGTTATTAATAATAATTTTTGTAAACTCCAATATCAAAAGATGTGAATAAAAATTTGTTATTGTATGGATATAACTGAGTATATTGTGCTATCCTTAATACTATTTTTACACTTATAATAACTTAGAATATTCTATTAAAATAATTACTTTGCACTCAATTAACATTATTAAAAAAGCCTTTTTCAAAACTTTTATTCAATACTTTAATGTATTAGAAATAAATATAAATAAAATTAGACACAATGTCAGATTTTATTGTGCATATCAATATTTTCATAATATAAAATTGGTAATATCCAAATGGTAACATTTTCAGGCTATATTACTATGTGCAATGTATTTTATGAGTTTCAGCTTATAATATCTATCCTTATTAAAAATACTGATAATCTGTTTCAGTGGCAAATGTTTTTGTTATGTAGACAAAAGTGAAACAGGTTTTATTCATAAGAGATTTGAAAACATTAGCAAAATATTTCATATACCTGAATAAATTATTATTGGGTTTGTTAATATGTACTCCTTGACATTCTTCAGTCTTTCAATCATTGGTCTTTACTTACAGAAGTGTTTATTACTTTCTAGAGATATTCTTTGGATGAATATTGCTTTTCATATACATCTCTTTTAATGTTTTAAGTTTTCTATTAAAGAAGTTGATAGCTATTCTATTAATTTGGTGTCTTTAAAAACTTTTTTTGACAAGGTAGGCAATAGTCAGTTTTGAGAAGGTGAAATATTATCTTGTATGAATGTACTCTCTAGCTTAAAGTTTCTTGGTTTTGTGATTGGTACTACCCAAAATACCACTTGTCCAAAGATTCTCTGCATTTCATTTTCCCCCATCAACTTTGAAAGGACCAATAATTTTAATGCACAACAATACTAGATCAAAACACTATTCCACCTATCATCTTAATTTGTGACTATTTCTATGATGACCCAACCTCTAGCCTAGCCATCAGGTACATCTAATGTAGCTCTATATTCATCAGTAAAATTAACTGTCAAGACTATCATAAGCATTAACTTCCCTCAATTTGGACACTTCCAGAATTATCTACCTTTTGCTGTACGATATATATATATATATATATATATATATATATATAAATAAAAGAAATATGTTATAGCGGTTCCAACGAGAGAAAAGTATGTATATTAAAAAGAAGAGAAGAGAGGTGCATAAACGTTTTTGGTTGTAGTGTGGATTTATTTAGAAAAAAATATTATGCTTTGTTTTACATAATTTTATTTACACATGTTTCTGGTCTCATGACCGTCTTCAGGTAAAAACGGAGATTTCCACATATTATTAAAAATAATTAATTTTTCCTTATGTTTGATTTTAATGTTAAATATTCTCGATACGAGACATTCTCTGTGTGTTGGTAACCCGAATTTCTTTCTTGAATTGGCAATGAAGAGTTCTGCGCGAAGGGTCATAAAACAATTAAGGTTGGTCCAGCGAAATGATGAATTAGTTATCGGCATTTTATCTTTTAATGTTTTACTGACCCCTATGTGTTCTTGGATCTGTTTCCATTTTGGTGTGTTTCTGTCAGCATGCGTGTATATATGCATGCGTATATTTCCCCTCCATACATATACTGTCTTACTACGAGGAATTAGTAAACTCATTTGTACATATACACGCATACACACACATATGCACATACACATCATCCCACCACAAGGAATCAGTACACACACACACACACACTTCCCAAGCTACATGGAACCAGTATACACACACACATGCACACACACATACTTCTTAAGCTGTGTGGGGTTTGGATGTGTGCTCATGAGTAGTTCCCCTGTTTTGTCAACATCTGCATATACATATATAAATGTATGTATACATACATATATCCTCATGTCTCCCATATATGAGCGTGCATTCATGTGAGTGATTTGATCATTGTATTTGGTCACCCTGTATACACGTTGTGTTTTTGTATGTGGGGTTATGATCTATTTAGTTCGGGTTTAAATTTGTTTATAAAGTATTTTTCCTGTATTTGTAGGTACGAGTAATTGTCAATCAAATTGTAAATGTCAAACTATATCCAAACCCTAGGTACTGCGATGGGAACAAAAATGGCACCAACATATGCCACCCTAACATTAGCTTATCTAGAAGAAAACCTCTATGAAGAGATAGAACAAATATATATTGATTTCTAAATATAAAA